ATATATATATATATATATATATATAAGCAAATATATGGATATAGATCCGACAGTATGAAGAAAAGTATACGGATAAAAACAAACAAAAATCCTAATATACAATTATGCTGTTTTAATGTTAATATAATGTCAACGTCGGACGTTTTGGTCTAATAGACCATCTTCAGGACATATTCATAAAACATAATTAACATTAGACTATATTCAATTCAACATGAAAAAGACGATGGACACAAGAGCAAGACTAATCCAAACAGATAACTGAAATTTTTTATAAGGTCAGCGTTCCGTTTTAATATGATCACGTCGTCGTCACGTGGGCGATGTTGTGAAAACGTATTCGAAGATGATTTCAAAATATTAGATAAACTCGATTGAACGATTTTCTCATATAAACAGTTTTTCATGTTGAATTGTCTTCGCCATAAATAATCTAACAAATGATGATGCATTTTATTATAAATCAATTCTGTGTATTTCCCTTGAGATATGTTTCATTATGAATATTCATTAGAAATATTCTAGCTTGAGATGTTATTATGCATCTGTATTTACTTATAGATTAGCGCCAATACCGCATTGTGTTACTATTGCTTTTGCGATGATCATTGATATTATGTAAGGTCCTGCTCTTGATATTCTGTAAGGTCCTGATCTTGATATTATGTAAGTTCCCGGTCTCGATATTATGTATTGTGGTTGATTTACGATTACTTTCGAGAATTGAGAGATTAGCGCGCACTCAGGACGTTGTTTTCTCAGTGAATTCATTTCCATCTAAATGAGACTAGACTATACATCCTTCTAACAGGCATATACGAGACTATATATATATAATGATGAATGGGCTGAAAAGTTCATAGGCTGATTATAAATGAGTGATGCTAGAGCTGTGAAATCTTGAAGGCATTAATCTTATCTCCTTTTATTAATATATATATATATATATATATATATATATATATATAGAGAGAGAGAGAGAGAGAGAGTACAATTTTATTTCCCTTTTCGTCGACAAATGTTGTCCACTCTTTCGCCATATATCTTTAGGTTTTTCACACTGCCTCTGCTCTTGCGTGCTCATCGCTGTTACTAATATGTTCACGTCATCGAGGTTTCAGTATGATCGTGCCAGTTTTCTTGCTGTTGTCACAGTGTAAACATGGCCGCTCCGATAGCAGTGTGCACCAAGGAGTATCGAAGAGCAGCAATCCGAATCGGCAGAAAAATGGCACCACATTGATGATAACTCGCCGTTTCACCATCTCACGACCTTGTTGAATCTTTCAGTGAATGATGGAGGCTGATGGGCGTCTTGCTCCCAAGTCATGCGTCACGCTTGTCCTGCAACTTTTAATTTTCTCGATCTACTCATACACATATCTACACAGTAGTACACTGTCGCTGTATTGTATTAATTCCGATTAATTTCAGCCCCTCACACACCTTAAAAACTAAAAAAAAATCGGATCATTGTTCATTGTTTCTCCTTGGTGCATCCTGCTAAGGGAGCGGCTATGCTTTTACTGTATCAGCAACAAGGACATTTCTTGGTCAGAGGAAATATTTTAGATATATTTTTTATGATAAATATTCTATTTAGTTTTTAGATAATATGTGTTTTATTAAAAATATTTAAAGGTACGCTATTTCAATGTAAGATATTATTATTGAGTCTTGTTAGTCATATTTTAAATATAATATTTTAGAAAATGACATTTATTTTTGCGAATTCCATATATCTAAAATTTGCCGTGGGTTCTACGAATGGTAAAAGCCCAAAAGAGACAAAAAAAAAAAGATATTTTGAATTAATCGTATAAGGAGAAACGTAATGTTACAAATTCCGAAAACATTGAAGAGAAATTGATAATATTGGTTAGATAAGAACAAGAAAAAAATGTTTTTACGAATATCATTAAAAAGATATTCGTGAAAAAAAAGTGTGGTAAAGAAGAAACCACAAGAGTAAATTTATTCACTCATAGGAAATTAAATATCGGATTAGAATTTTCGAATAGGTGAACAGAGATCACGGTATGCTCAGAAATAAATTGAAAACATGGACAAGATAAGAAGTAACAAAAAAAATAAATAATAAATAAATAAATAAAGAAGCAGCTGTCACAAAAATACATTCTGGAAAATTAAAAGGTAAGCAAAGAGGACTGACCAGAGTAAAATATTGGAAGAATGTCGTGTTGTTAATCTAAAAAAAAAAAAAATGTGAAAAGATTTCGTAGTATTAGTAATATTGACTAAAGACTTGCAAGGTAAAAGTTTTGAGTAAATATCCTCAATAGTAACCTTTGAGTTCAAGAAAGAAGTACACAAAACCTAATTTCTCAGGAGCAATTTCTCGCGATGAAAATTGAGCTACATTGGATGAACTTAATAACAGTCTTAGAGAATGGATCCTTCAAAGATATTGTTAACGTAGTCACAGTAAATAGAAGGCGAATAATATCTGAAGCTAGCATTACTGCCAGTATAATTAAAGATCACTGTAAATTTTTATATATATATATATATATATATATATATATATATAGTTCACTCAAAGAAGACCACTCTAGGTAGAGGGTTACTCAAGATGATTGGAAGGGTGCGTTTTGAAGTAGAGATATCATGAGGACAAGTTGAGAGTGGGCGTAAAAAGACGCGGATTATAGTTGCCAGGAAAGCATTCTCTCGGGAGTTTTTTCCACAAAAGATCATTTCTGGAGAAGAATGAGTAGAACGTTCTTTTTCTTAAAAAACACGAAGTGAATAGGAAAGGTTTGTTAATGTGATCGTATAGTGATCAGATAAATTGCAAAGAATAATTGTAAGTCTTTAGGCTAGATTTTAATTTTTTCAGTGGTGCACGTCATAACCAAAGAGCTTTAAAGTAAATAGCATATTAATACAAGCCCATCCTGGGTATGACGATAAACTACATCCCCGTCATGGGTAAGATGATAAATTACGTCTGCGTCCTAGGTAGCACGATAAACTACATCCGCGTCCCGGTAAGACGATAAACTACGTCCAAAATCAAGGTCTCTGATCAGGAGGTTTTGAGTAGTGTGGAACCACCTTTTAATTGCTGGTGTTCCCAGTTCCATCTTGATTCGGGGTGGTAGCACCTGTTAGAGTCCCAACTATGGGCAAATAGTTAACCCCAAAATTGGGGTCAAAATACTATGAATGTGTAAAAACCGGATTTAATACCAGAAATATTTTGTAAAAAATATTACCAGCAATATATTTTTGAAAAATAAATATTACCAGCAATACATATTTTGATTAAAAAAATATTACCAGCGAAGGAAAATTATTACCAGGAACAGATTTTTGAAGGAAAAAATATTACCAGAAATAGATTTTTGGAAAAAAAATATTACCAAGAATGAAAATTTTGTCGGCATTAAATAACCAATTGAAGTTGATATGCCGTAAAACAGGCCAAACCAAACCAAACCAAATACAAGCAATCTTGGTTCACATTTTGAAAAGATAACTTTAGCCAAAATGAAACAAAGTTAATGGAATGGACTCAACCTGGCCAAATTTTGTGGAAGACTAAATTCTAAGAAGTGCATATGAAAGTAGAAAATAATTCAACAAAGAAGATATCTGCTAAGCAATTAATTTGTAGCACATGATGTCAAAACATCTCCTAAGTAAGTCACCTTTTGAAAATAAGTATACATTTTATGAACTTAAATTCACACGACATATTTTTCAAACAAATGTTAGGAAAATTAATAAAAAAATAAAAAAAAACAACAACTTTTTACTGGGACGCGTTTCGCCCTTTCAGACTTCATCGGGCCTAAATGATATCGACGTTGATGCAAATACACGCACGCACGAAGGGAAGAAACGTTGAAATTTTAACATTTGTTATTATTATTGGCGTACGCATGGTCCAAGATGCCGTCGTCGACACAAGTCATCGTGACCGATCTTCTGTGTGCACTATCTGTATTAAAAAAAAATGTAGCTATGATCTCCACATAGTTTCAGTATAAACCGCTCGTTGTCTAAATAGGTGTTAAACAGACACAAATATATTTCAGCTGACCTCTGCAAAAGATTCAAAAAAAGGATTCGCTAATCAGCCTAGAAGACAGGTATACTCGGTAAAGAGCAGCCAGTCACTATCTATCTATCTATCTATGAATCGAGAGAGAGAGAGAGAGAGAGAGAGAGAGTTTGCGTTTGGGAGAGAGATATAGTGAGAGAGAGAGGAGGCTTATCAAAGTCGAATTTATGATTTCTTCTCGCAAACTTTTTAAAAAAGTTATCTCCCCTTGCTTCCCCGTCACATACAAATACACACGCTTCTCCAGTTCTATATACTGAGATGCGTGTTTTGTGAATAGCATTAATGATATTCCTAGAACAGGAAGAGGCATCAGTATTTTTATGATGTGCTTTCAAGTAATGTCGCTCGAAAATATTGAAAGATTGCCGAGTAGACTTTTACTGACGAAAGTCTGTAACCATCTGCTTTTACCTTATTTTTTATATAACGTGTTTAAGCAAATGGGTCGCACGTCTGAGTTCCACTTAGAAATATCCGTTTGGAAACGCCTCCTCCTCTTAAACTAGTTATAGAAATATCTGCAATGAATATACGTTTATATAACTTTCTATCTGCACGCTACACATTCTCTCTCCCTCACTATCCCTCCCTCACATTAATACATTTAATAAATATATATAACAATTTGTACATTATTAAAGATTGTTTTGTAAAAAAAAAAAAATCAACAACATGGAAACAGACAAACGATTAAACAAACAAAAGCCAAAAATAATGAACCAACAAGAGTATTTCTAGAAGATAAGGTTTTTAAGGCAATCATATTTTGTATAGAGTGTTCATTATCAAGTTTTAATAGTAATTAAAAAAAAAAGAAATAACAACTTATTTTGTCTCTATTAACAATTTTGTGGTGTTAACAGCCACTCACCAGTAAAATCATTACAAAACTTACATTGCCTGGGATTACGACCATATCCCATTGAAACACAGGTTCTCATACGATCATCAAACTTAAGCAAAGTCGACCCTGGCCAGTACCGAGATGGATGACTGCTTGGGAATATCTGGTGCTGTAAGGCTGTAGGAATGGAATTGGAAATCGAAGAGGCGGGTTCAATTTCAGTGAAGACCGTTATATTCATTTCAGCGCACTTGGGAAAGGTAGGAATCCAGTTATGGGCTAATTTGTAGGACTTATATTAGTAAATCAGTTTTATCCTCAAAATCTTCTCACAATCTAAAAATATTTTCTGGCTTTAAATAACCTGAAAAAGTTGAAAGCCCGTAAAAAGTAACACATTCAATCCTATTTTTCGTTCTCTAAGCAACTCTTGCTATTTTCGCAGTCATCTTTAGCATCGTCTTCCTTGATTTGACATCCATTTATAAAACTCATAAGTAGGTTATTAGTTTTTTTCCTTGCTTCTTTTGTCTTCAGTATATCCTGTTAGTATTAGTTTCGGCAGGTTTATTTTCTTCTTTATATTCCTGACAGTACTTCTCGGCCTCACGTTTTCCACTGATTTGAAATGGATCGACTACATTAAATCAATAGCTGCATCTAATGCAATGAAAGTTGGGTCACCTAATCGCAGTAGAATCCATCTTGCACATCTACAAGTTTACTATTCATCCGTGTATTGAATACTATTGCCATATCTCGTCTGGGACTCTGATGTACATCTCGAGATTCTTGACAAAATCCAAAGAAGTTTCTGTAATATAATCGATCTGGACAAGGTATCTCGACTTCAGTTACTTTCTCAGCGGTGTGACTTGGCTTTTATTTTGTCTTTTCTACAAATATTTTCATGGCAACTGCTCTGACGAGGTTGTTTCCCCACCCCCCTGGTGCTCCGAATATATGAATTTGAGCGTGCTACTAGATTGGCATCTAAGTCGCACCCGTTTATGCAACCGCCACTTCTACTCCAACAGTTTCTTCTCTTGCACTTCTCGCCTGTGGAACTATTTTCCGTTTACTTCCTTCCCTGGTAACTGCAATCTTCAAAAATTTAAATGCAACATCAATCACCATCTTCTGTTTTCTTGAATCCATTTAATCTTTTGTCAATTCTCCAATCCTCACCATTCCCAGTCTTCTCTTTCACTTTCTCTAACTAGTGCCATCTCCACCTTTCTTGGGGTAGGGATATGATAAACAAACATTTAAGAATCCAATTCTTCGATATGCCCTTTCAGGAAATACGAAATCATGGCGCTAACGACATTTCCTGATTTTTTAAATTTGTCTTTTGATTCTAAATTCTTTTTTTTTTTACATTTTCCCGTAAGTTTTTGTCGCTATTCCGCCATTCTCTCACGCAAACTCGTTAACTTGGCCTTCAGTTTATCCGTTGAGTTTTAAATTTTTCAAACACTTTCTTCATTATATTTGCCGAATAATTTAGATGTTTTTTTTTTGTGGGTTTTCTTTTATCAGTTTTCCTGCAGTACCTATTCTTAAATGTTCCTAGTTTTTCTGTCCGTAGGATTTTCGGTATTTGTTGGTAGAACCACATTTCTCTTATTTCAAATCTTTTCTTCAACAGCGAGGAAATTTTGCAGTAATCATTACCATAGAAGCGATCCCGTATAGCGTTATAAATTAAGCACTCACTTCTTTATTTCAAAGGACATTTTAGTTAATCCCTGGCCTCAGCGGAGAAGACAAAATTGGTGTGGGGAAGAACAAAAACTTATCAATGCGAATTAACTGAAACTAAGACATTAAAAAGGCATGGTACGTGGAATTAGAACAATATACCACTGGGGATTAAATAAATGGTTCGATTCGAAATTTCAACAAATATCACTTGCAAATGCCCGGGGGTGGGGCACAACGGCCAAAAAGTCGTGAATATGACAATAAAGATGAGGACAACAGTCTGAACATTGAAATATAGTGTAAATAGTTGTTCAGAAATATAGACGAATATTTGTCTTATTTCTTAATACTTTGTTTATTTTATAGAAGGCATCTTCAGTCTTATGTTACATCTTCCGTTGTGTTTCTCTGCGCTAGTTGAGTTTCCTTGATTTCGACGTCTTCAATTCATATTTTCCTGGCAACCATGCTTTCTCTTTTATAGTTAATAATTACTCCTTTCTTCTTGTTTTCTTGGCGATTTTCCACAATAGGTCGTCGAATTTTTCTTGTGAATCTGCTATCAACATATTGCTATTTGCATAACGTATATTGTCATGATTTTTATCTAATACCATCGTCGTCATTTCCTACAGTGTGAAATGCGTACAATGTTGGATCTGAAGAGACGTCCACATCACAGTATAATAGGGTTCAGGGGATGGAGAGCTGTGGATTTCCTTTGGCTTCTTTTCCGCTATTCTTTCTATCTTCTAGTGTTTCCGAAGAATCTTGTTTTTTCGTGGACTGCGATTCAACTGGTTCTTTCTAGAGCTTCCGTCTCTCAATTGACAGATCAATTTCTGTCCGCAGTAAGGGTCTTTGAGCATGAAATCCTTGGCTGCGAATTATTTGAGGTGGCTCATAGGTCGCCACTCCATAATCTAATACCATGTCTCTTTAATACGTTGAGAGTCATTGTTCTTAATGCATTTAGTTTTTTTTTTCATTATCTGTGAATTATGATGGTTTCTTGGGAAAGGAAATGTACTAGTTTTTCGGTGCTTTCTTCCAGGTTTTCAATTCTGAATAATCCATCCCCTATACTGCCTGCTTGCCAAAGCTAGAGAACCCAGTCTACTTTATTATTTCGCCTATAAATAGGGTGGAGAAGTGACGGATTCATGTAATTTCTGAAAGTAACATTACGATAGTTAATAGCGCAAAAGAGCCAAGTATTAATCTTAAGTACGCTGATTAAAAATCTTGGTAGGTATTCTAATCTTCTTAAAATCAGCTTGCGGCACGGTTTAAAGAAATCCCGAGTAAACATGTCATTGTATATTCCAGTTTTTGTGTAGAAGATTTTACATTTAACGTCAATCTGTGCTATATTTTCCAATTGTTAGTAATTTAATTCTTGAGGATCGTGTGCCAACTTTTGTTGAATAAAACAGTTTCTGGTGTTCCTCGTTTTCGAATGAGAAACTTACGAATGTTTTGTTTTGTTTTTTTTTTTTTGTTTGTTTTATGGCATATCAAGCGTCCTGGGTTATTTAATGCCGACAATTTTTTTCTGGTAATATTTTCCTTCAAAGATGTGTTGCTGGTAATATTTTTTTCCTTAGAAAATGTATCGCTGGTAATATATTTTTTCAAAAAATCTATAGCTGGTAATACTTTTTTCAAAAATATATTGCTGGCAATATTTTTTACAATGTATTTCTAGTATTACATTTTTTTTTGTTTTTTTTCTTACTTTATTAATTTTCCTTACATTTGTTTGAAAAATATGTTGTGTGATTTTAAGTTCATAAAATGTATACTTATTTTCAAAAGGTGACTTATTTGGAGATGTTTTGACATCATGTGCTACAAATTAATTGCTTAGCAGATATCTTCTTTGTTGAATTATTTTCTACTTTCATATGCACTTCTTAGAATTTAGTCTTCAACAAAATTTGGCCAGGTTGAGTCCATTCCATTAACTTTGTTTCATTTTGGCTAAAGTTATCTTTTCAAAATGCGAACCAGGATTGCTTGTATTTGGTTTGGTTTGGTTTGTTTTACGGCATATCAACTTCAATCGGTTATTTAATGCCGATAAAATTTTCATTGTTGGTAATATTTTTTTCTCAAAAAATCTATTTCTGGTAATATTTTTTTTTCTTCAAAAATCTGTTCCTGGTAATAACTTTCCTTCGCTGGTAATATTTTTAATCAAAATATGTATTGCTGGTAATATTTATTTTTCAAAAATATATTGCTGGTAATATTTTTTACAAAGTATTTCTGGTATTAAAACCGGTTTTTACACATTCATAGTGTTTTTGCCCCAATTTTGGGGTTAACTATTTGCCATAGTAGGGAGACTAACAGGTGCTACCACTCTGGGTCAAGGTGAACCTCGGAATACCAACGATTAAGATGTGATTCCACGCTCCTCAAAACCTCTTTATCATTGGTCTTGTTGTTGGATGTAGTTTATCGTCTTACCCAGGACGGACTTGAGAATGTTTCCTGTTGCTAAACTAAATTTTGCAACAAAGACAACTTTGTTTTGGTTAAATGTCTGCTGTTTCAGATTCATTGGTCAAAACACTAAACCATTCATCGTCTCAGAATACCAACAACAATTCTCTTAACACAAAGATGGGCGAACATTTTGCAATGATGTTTCTATTCCTTAGCACATATTCGAATACCAATTAGACACATCTTTTTGTTAAACGTCGATAAGTCGTTAATCGGTTGTGACTAATTAGCGTAGAATTTTAATTAGCTTCATTTGATTGTCTATTCGGTTATTTAAGCGTCGCATTTCAGGATTTGGTGACATGTTTTAACGAGAAAATCACAATTTTACGTGCTTAGTGACAAAGATAATTGTTTTGAAAACAAAAACATTTAGAGTATTCACAAGTCGCCCATTATAAAACAATGTTTAGTAATTACCATTTGAATGAAGCGCTATAACATAATATCATAGCCAGTATATTTTTCAACATACATACTGATGTTTCTGATAAATTCAACCTTGTAATAAAATCTAGGGAACTTACTCTAAAATGAGGATAATAGAAAAATAGAATCGATTCGAATTTTTCTCCATAATTTGATTTTATTTTAAAAATATTCAATCCTGCTCTCTGACCATCATATGATAATTGCAATATTTAGTTCTTGACATTTTTGTTTAAAGATCTAGCCCTTTATTTTGTCTAAATCACTGTATAGTTCTTATTCAGTTATCCATCTAAGTGTATACTTTGTTTTTGTTTTTCCTATTCTAGTAAGCAGTTGTGTCTATAATTTATCCGTGCATTGAATATTGTTACCACATCTGGTTTGATGCTTTAGATATGTATCATAACCTTCAGAGGCTTCTTTCATCCTGGACTGATTGCCCCCCATGGCTATGAGAAGCTGTCTGATTTGTTATTTTACCCACACTAGGGGGTGAAGAGATGGATTCATACCTTTCCCAAAG